ATAGGCTACTTATGTTTAAAATTTTTTTTTTGAAAATGACAAGTGTGATTGTTCTGCATGTAAGTGACTGGACTGCAATTTCAGTTTAATGGGAACAAAACAAATAACATGGCTACAAAAATGAAGGCAACTCCTCCATTTGTTAAGCTTGGCTTGAGGTGAGCACATGACCCCCAGGCAGACACACAGTGAACTCAGAACTGGTTTATTGTCAGGAATGAGGGACAGGTTGAGGAGCCAGGAACCAAAAGTGGTCAGGGGAACCAAATCGAGGTGTACAGGAAGGCGGGAATGCAGCAGCGAGTGCAGCTGGGAAGATAGCTGACGAGCTGGCAACGAGTGGCCCTTCAGACCGACTTTTGTCCTGCAAGGGGTGAGTGTGGCTAACCAGGTGAAGACTGACAAGTGTGTAGGTGAGACAGGTGCAATGATTGGGGAGACGCCACACCGAATTAAGGGAAAGGTAACAAAACACAACAAAGGGAGGGTCCACACAATGGACGACTGATAAACAATGTGACCTTTGGCTGTTGGTGTTTTTGGAAAAAAAAAGAAAAGTTTCATCCTTGATTTATTTGTATCCCGAAAGGAATAAAACAAAACCAAAGTGTATGTTGCAATACAGTACACCGTGTGAATTCATAGCTACACAGCATATTTGTTAAGAAATATTGAAATACATCTTTATTTATATCTGATGAGACTTTGTTGCTTTGTGTTGCAGAGATTGACGAGCCCCCTCGCTGCGATGCAGGACAGGATGTTGTGATCCAGCTGCCCACTGACTGGGCAGTTTTGGATGGGCGCGACAGTGTGGACGACCACGGGATCAGTCACTACGATTGGACTCTCGTGAAGGGGGACGCAGCCATCACCATGAAGGTCGGTCACTTGAAGACGTCGTTACGATCACTTACAGCATCCGTGGCTTGGAACAATTAGTCAAATGCGAGATCTACAAAGCTTTGAACGGAAGAATCAACGCACACAATGTTTGCATTTGCAGCATGAAGAGACTCGATCGGGGTCAGGTTACATTTGTTTGCTTCTGTTGAGTCAAGAGAGTGGCTTGTGGCCAGAGCTCCATGGTGCATGGCAAAAGAGATAAAGAGTTTATCGCATACACGCCTGTCTCAAGAGTCAACTTCAAGGTCAACGTGTTCTGTTTTTCGTGAGCATAAAAATTTGAAGTAAACACACTCTGTTGAGATTATGAAGTGCAAATAAATAGTTTTGTTGTTGTTGTGTACTTATGTGTACTTAAAATTCGGCATAAATTTGCTTCATGAAATACCTTTATTGTGATACACTTTTCCGCCATATTGCCCAGCAGTACAATAATGGTGAAAATATATAGTTGTTGCATGATTGTGTCTTTTAAGCAAATGTGACTTTACCTGTGTGTGTGTGCATGTGTCTTTTGCAGGCATCTCATCCAGGGCTGCTGAAGATCACTGGTCTGCAAGAAGGTGTCTACACTTTCCAGATGACCGTCACTGACACATCGGGTCAAAAAGCGTCAGACAATGTGTCTGTTACAGTGTTGGCACCAAAACATCAAGCAGAAGGCAATGACCTCACGATATGACTTTTACAGCAAATGAGTTACTTATTCAAGAGTCGAGTTGAATGATTTCTTTTTTTTTTTTCTTGGCAGTGTGTACCGGCCGCTGCTCAAACTACCAGTTCAAATGTGATGACGGCTGCTGCATTGACATCACCTTTGCCTGCGATGGGAAGCAGCATTGTCCCGATAGATCAGATGAAGACTTTTGTCCAAACTGTAAGAAAAAACTCATAATCCCAAATGGAAAGTGTTGTTCTTTGGCATGAAAAATCGCGGCTCACTTTTCAAATCCTTGCCTAGTTGACACCAGCAGGAAGTCAGTGACCCACGCTGAAGGTCTGCCCATCCACCCGCTTCCGGTGGCACACACTGTCGAGTCTCTGGACAGTTTTGTGCTTCAGACTGGGCCCAGGAAGACGAATGACAACAGTAGACCTTCTCAGGAGAGGAGCAGAGTCACACCTCCACCCAGTCAGAAGCAGGATTCAAACAGTCAAGGTAGTCGATGTAGTCACATACCACAATAACAACAAAGGACAATGTTATTGAATGTGTTCCTTTCACGACTCTTAAATCGTGGTCTTCCATATCATTGTGGACTTTCTATGAGGGTTTTAGTGTTTATCCACACGTGCAGGCAGATGGAGCCCATGTAGGAAGCCACTGAGTCATGGCACTGAGCGCTTAAATGCTGGCAGAGCCTCAATGCATTCTGCATTCCATGGGAAAACAGTTCTGTGCTTGCAGACTTGCTGGGCCTTGGAACAAAGCGTCTCTGTCCTCTCTGCCATCCAATCCCTTCGTTTGCTTAAAAAAAAAAAAACACTGCTCCCCCAATGCCCCTACACTGTTTTGACAAAGTGCATCTTCAGGAGTGTCACTTCACAATGGTCAGTGCCGTGTGCACATACTGGACAAATTAAATTATTCAATCGTATGCAGTACAGCCCAAGCTAATGTGATGCAAGGTTATTGTGTTAGTGTGCATTGCATCTTTCAAATTCGGTGTTGCCTTGAGATTCAAGTGTCATTCATTCTATGACTACATTTGTAACTCAATACAAATCCCATGTCCCCATAGAATAGAACGAAAATGCCATTAACCTGTACTTGTCCCCCTCACCACAAAAAAGAGTTTTTTTTTAATTGAAAATAGCAATCTGATGTGGTACTTTGTAAAAATTGAGTATTACGGTGCGCTTGTCGTGGCCACTGGAGTGCAGTATAACACAGTAGAAGAAGAATAGACTTACTGTACTACTACTGTATGTGACTCAGTAAGATACTGTAATATTCATTTATTTTTTTAGGATAAAGAAAATATTCCTGTCAATATTTTTAAATGATCAAAACGAAATGGATAATATGGCTTGATTAAAAGTTCCAGTCTAATTTTTTTTTTTTCCAAGCATTAGTAAACAATGTGATTGAATTGTGTCTTCTCTGACTCTGTGTCTCCATAGAGCCATGTTCCACTGCTCCAATTGTCGGACCTTGTAAGGGCACCTTTGCACGCTGGTACTATGACCATGAAGCAGGAGAATGCAAACACTTCCTATACGGTGGTTGCCAGGGCAACCATAACAACTTTCTCCAGGAATCAGACTGCGTCAGTGAATGTATACAGAAAAGTGAGAAGATGCTTTCCTTTTAAAGATGCTCGTATTTTTGACCACGCTGAATTACTGATTACATTTTTTTTTTTTTGGCTCATTGTTGTGTAGGTCCGGGTCTTAAACCAGCTACTGTGGCTCCTCCTATCACCAAGCAGACTGAAATAGGTACTGGCTAATAAGGCCTGACTGATCTGTGGTTTTTTGAGGCTGGTGACGATGAAGATATGAATTAAAGGCACAACATTTGACTGTTTTCCGTTACTTTGCCCTAATTTGCGATTGTACTTCTTTGAAGCTGCTCCAGGAGTTTCACAGATCCAAGAGGGTGAAATCCCGGTCTACAAACGGTTCCCAGTAAAGGGAGGCCATCCGGTCGCCGAGTCAGGTCAGAACCAGGTCGGATGTGTGTTCGTGTGTCGCGTCCGCCCTTGTGTCCCACCTGCTTCTCTCTTCTGCCAGGTGCCGTCCTCCCACTGGCACTGGGCCTGATCATCACCGCCCTGCTGCTGCTCCTGATTGCTTTTCGCCTGAGGCTCGTGCGCCACAAGCTGAAAAAAGCGCGGCCCCTCACCACGGAGGAGTCCGACTACCTCATCAACGGCATGTACCTGTAGCCACAAACGGAATCTCTTGACAATTCCAACCTGGGGAAAAAGAAAGAATGGGAGACACCAGAACCCGACTCTGGACCTTTTGAATTTGCACTCTATTTTTCCTGTAGCCTAACCTCTGTAATTAGTTCCATGTGATCTTGGAAACATCCCGTCCTGCTCTGCTTTGCTTCATGCTTCGGCATTGAAACCGTCCTGCTGCTGAAAGGACGCTGCCTTCAAAGCTAATGACATCTTCTGATGTTGGTGAGTCCATGAATATTGTCCATAGAAGTTTTGGGACCCCTGACTACTGCGCATACTCAAAATATAGAGTTGGGCACTCTCTTCATCCTGGCTCACTATCTCCACTGTAGTTCAAAACAAAGGTTGCTTGGATGAAGCCAGGGTATGAAAATATTCCCTCTTCTAAGCACAGAACTTGCTTTTATTTTGATAGGGATTAATTATTGTCCCAAGACTTGATATCAGAGAATCTTTCATTTTCAGTCAAGTACGGTACACCATGACTAGACAATTTTCCTTCAATAGAATCATAAAACATATTTTTTTTCTCAGTTCAAAAATATATTGTGCCATTTTTGTGCTCTCAAAACTTACCTGTGGATGGAAATGTAAATACACCGAGAAGTGGATTGAGACACTGACTAAGCCATAGTAACAGTTATATCGTACCCCTTATCCTATTCTGCAATGCATCCTTGCAAAGCTTCGTAGCGATGTATTATATTGAGCACATGTATTCATTCAACGTGTTGTATGTCATTCCAAATTCAAGTTTATTATATAAAAGGATCATTCGAACGTTTACCATTGCATTGTATCAATCGCATTTGAATGTTCCCACAACTCCGAGAGTCACTGACTGAAAATTTTCAAATACGAATGTATCAATATAATTTTCATAGTATGGTGGGAAGTGGTTAGATTATCACAGTTAAATAGTATCTGTGTTTAAATCCCAGTTCAGGTCCTCCTGTGCGGAGTTAACCGCATGCTGTGTGGGTTTCCACGCAGATTCCAAAGATACTCATGTCAGGTATAATTCGTTTTTTTGTAAAAACTGCATCTCAGACAGAGATGCAAAAACAGAATATCTTGTGAAGAAGCAGCAACTCTAAAGTAGGGATTACATAACAAAAATATTCTTGCCCAGAATTTCTTAAAATGGTAGAGCCCGGACGCAATGCAGATTCAAAGACCAAACATAAGCAACTCTTTATTGTCATATGCCACTCCGGAATTTATAACAATCATCACTTCAGTTCACTCAAAATAAATGTGCTTAAAGATTGTTTTTTTTTTCTTTTTTAATCTTCCCCCAAGATAAGACATTCATTCATGAGAGCTTGTTTTGGCAAAGCAGTGACTGTGAAAATCACCAGCGGGGCCTGCATTTGATGTTTCTTGAAAGCACAACGTTGCCATGCACGTGTGGGTGTTAATAGTCCGTCCGTTCTCTTTGGATGGAAAGCATTGCCGGTATGTATGCTAACTGCATCGTTAGGCGTGTAGTACAACATCGTCTTGAGCGCTGCACATCAAACGGGATATGTGGGCTACATCAGCGTGTGTTGCCAATACTGCAATGGGCTGGGGGGTGCCTTAAGATCATCTATTAGCAGAGAAATCGAAAGTGAGATGACTCACACACGGCAGCGATGTGAATTACCAAAAAAAGCTCAGGCTTTCATCATTAAAGTCCAGCACTCTTCTCTTCCGCAGACATACGTTATTATGTATAAGTATATGGCTGACTGCATTCAAAATAAGGAAACCACAAAAAAAAAAAAAAAAAAATGTTATTCAGTAAATCAAAAAGTGTACAGCTTCAAACAGTTTCCTCCCCGGTTCAGTAATACTTTCTAGTCCATCACGCTTGATGAATGATCTTAAATCAGAGGTTGTTAGGCTTTTGGAACAAAATGTAAGGACTGCTTGACCCCGCCCCCCAGTCTGTGTTTCGGTCCTGGTTCGATATTAAAAAGGTGGATTATGGACTGTCTTCCTGTTCAGAGTTCATCCCTGCAGGAAACAGAAGTGGTTAACGTTAGTGAAGGCGAAAAAAAAAAAGGCAAGCCAAAATAAATCTCTTTGAAAATTAGCTACCTATATAAAAATGTCAATACTGTACAAATAAAATCGAACTTGCAGTGTTGTCTACCTCTCACAGAGCAGAAGATCAAATAAAAAATAGTTGCGACGTTCCAGATTATTATTCACGGGGTCATGCTCACTAAGGCCAAATAGAAGCCTTCACAGTGTTGTTGCTTTTTCAAGTTTTGTTAGTCGAGCCAGTTGGAGCCACCCACCGAGAGTTTAAAAAAGTAAATAAAAATAAGGAAGGAAACGTGCAGCTACTTGGCATGGTATGGAAAAAGCAAAATATGTCAGCAAGCAGCAAAATGCAGCCTCTTGTGATCCGTTGCCTGCTCCAAGCCACGCCCATTTCACCTTTTCCGCTGTGAGAAGGAGAGGTCGGGAGGAGGGTGCAGGGAGAAGGGAGTCACTTCCACCTGGACCACTGCTTGTCTTTGTCCGTTAAAGGCACATATATCACCCCCATCAGGGCCTTCATTTTGGTGCTGCCATCCTCCATCTTGTCGTATTGCTGCAGCATCTGGTTCCCCCCTGCCGGGCCCACGGGCAGAATGAGACGACCGCCGGGCTTCAACTGGTCCAGGAGCTGTGACGGCAATAGAAAACAGTTTCAGCGGAGCCTCTCAAGTCCCATGAGGTGACACCGGTCGCAACTTGTCGAAGATTTTCATGAATAATGCCACACAAAACTTTGCAAATCAGGTTGATTGATGACTCAAAGTGTTCCAGTTTGACCCTAGAATGGACTTTTTGCATTCCATGATTTTCCATGGGAAAATGTCTAGAAATCCCCAAAGCTCACTCAACCACCATCCAGACCCAGACACGATTGTGCTGGACCTTGGAGGTTTCCCACTGTCCTTAAGATTTCCAACTCAGACTCACAGCTTGGGGGACTGTTGATGCTGCTGCTCCAACATGGATGGCGTCATAAGGCGCCTCGTCTGAGTAGCCATTTCGTCCGTCTCCAACTGAAAACACGGATGGGACCATTTATATCAGGACCGTTTTATACTATTTAGACAGTACAAGTACCCCTAATATTGGCAGCGAGTGCGCTACGGCACCTCGTCCATTTGCCCTAACGGCACTCTGCCACGTGGGTGTTAAATGAACGAGAAACGTCTGACAAAACGACTTACCTTTTAGCATAACTCTTCCCGACGTGATCAAACTGGGGTCATCTTTCTTCACGTTGTTTATCGCGTCGTCTACCAGCTCTTTGATGTGGTCAATGCCTACCACTTTGCCTTCAGGGCCTACCTGTAAAAGACAGAACGGGATGCTGCACATGCTTGACACAATGACAAGGCTACAATTGCATTGCGATGCACCCAAAGAGAGCTCTGACGCGCCACTTGTGACTCACCATTCGTGCAAAGCAAACGGACAGGATTCCACTGCCGGAGCCCACGTCCAGGGCTTTGGCACCCTCGTACAGCTGGTCGTGTAGAAGCTCCAGGGCATACGCGTGCTGAGTGGCCACGTGGAGAAAGAAAAGAGTGAACTTGTCATTCAAATGCTCATGTTGTGACTCTAATGGGTGTTTGACTAAATTCCCTTCATCAAGTATGGTGAAAACATATGGATTCAAAGGACTTGTCACCTATGACACACAGTTAAAGACGGCTAAGGTCAATCCAGGCGCAAAAAAAACCCCAATCTGGATAATTAAACAAAAGTCAACATTTCCTATTAATGTTATCGCTGGATAGGTGATTGTGTTGTCAATACACCCACATTTGTCTGATTGACAGAGTGCTGAGTGCAGGCACAGCTGATTGAGTGAATTCATACCATATGTGGGGCGCTGATGGTTGCTTGGAAGCCTTTTGGTTAAAAAGAGATGGATTTGGTTAGTGTAGTTAGGTCATTGATTAGAATTTCAGAAGACTGCTGTATACCAGAAGACTTACCTATTGACTGTGGTGAGTCCATGTAAGGGTTACACCTAGAGAAATGAGCCCGGTCTGTCGCCAGCATGACTTCGTAGACCTTGTCGGATTTAATAATGCCATTTTCTGCAGATGCAAAATGGCAAAAACACATTACATCGCATTCAAGCAGATGGTTGCCAGCCAATCATTGAGCTCATAGAGAGGAAATAACTTTCACTCGCATTCACATTGATGATAGATTCTGAGACATCAATTAACCTAAAAGGCATTTTTTTAATGTGTGTGTGTGTGTG